GGGAAAGAGGGAAATGCTGAGTGTAGCTATGTTATTCTCTGTGTCCTGAGCATGCCTCTCATCTGGCTACAGAGTTTAGGGAAGATTTCTTTTTAATGTGAAAACTGCAGGCTCAAAAAGGAAGAAATTTATTTCTGAGCCGTCTCCAGCTTCTGCTCTCACTTATTTGTTCCTGAGTTTTTTTGGTGAGGATGAGGAAACAATGAGCCTGAATTGTGATGTGAATTTGAAAAACAGAGAACTGGTACAGTTTTTCTTGCCTAACTTCTGTGGTAAGAGAAGCCTTGTTTCCAGAGCCTGGAATGCATTTCAGATGCACCAGGGGAGGGAACATAACGGTATTGCTTCCAAATACTGCTTGAATGAGGTCCCAAGTTTCTCTATCACCCGCTTCCAGTCCCAATAAAAATTAAACATGAATAACAGTAGTGGATACCACATCTCTTTCAAACCACAAATGCAAGGCATGCTTCCTGAATGCGGATGTTATCGAAAAAAGCAAAGTGAGGAAGTGGCCATTACCATGGAAAATAGAAGGAAAAAACAGAATAAAGAAGAGCATGTAAACCTGTTCTAACCACTCATGCAAAGAAGAGAAAATATCCACAGTTAGAGTGAGGCTCCAAACAAGAACTCTCCTCACCTTGCAAATGTTTTTGCAGAAGTTTTGAGTTTTTCTTTTATTCATCGAGCCTGGACCATATCTAATGCTAGCCTATACACATCCAGTGCTGTGACATGAAGATTTGCCTGTCCAGGCTTTTAGCTCTCCCTCTGCAGAGAAGAATTGTGGGACACTTCTATCCAGAACCTTTTGCAATTGCTGTTTGATTCAGTACTTGACCCAAGGGCAGTCTTTCAGTTTATAGAGATCTCAGAGACAGAGGAACTTTGCACAGCTTTTAATATCCCTGGGAGGAGATGTGTTCAAAATCAAGCACACACTAGGATGTTTTGCTTGGTCCTAGTGAATTTTTGGATTCCGTATGTTTCTTTTAATAAGGCAACTTCAGAATTTCCACAGAAACTGCCACTTTCAAAATTTGTGAAACTTTCAGAATTTGGGAAACTGAAGCCTTTTAATTTTTTATGGTTTTGTTTTGTTTTGTTTTAAATGAATGCCATTTAGAGGTACTGAATACTTGATAAAACGTGCCAAGCATGCTCAGATCTGATGTTGAAGGATATGTTTGCCAGATTAATGGATAAAGATTGTGTAATCCTAGATCTAATTTCTCTGCTATAACAAGGAGGCACATAATTCCTTGCTCCAAATGAAAAGCAAGGAAGCTACTCTTCTGAGGGAAGTTGGCATGCTGTGTTATCCCTTTTCTAGTCTCACTCACCCTAGTTCTGGTGAACATGCTCTTCTGAAGGCCAGGCAAAAAAGCAATGTTCTCATTCTGTGTCCTGGGGACACCCCCACACACAGAAATACTCTCATCGAGGATATTTTTCTTTCTCTCTCATGACCAATTGAGTCAGTGCACCTAGTCAGCAGCTGGCAAATATCGTGCTTTACAAACACAAAATAGGCCACCGCAAATCCCACGTGAGGATAGAGCCCATTGCTCACTCGAGTTCTCATCTAAATCAAGGGCGGAAGTGAGGAATAAGACCAAGTGGTGTTTATTTCTTCTTCTTTATTTCTTTGCCCTCTTAAAATCAGAGATCGCTCTTCCAGTGCCCCAGGACTGACAATCTTTAGCTTTTTCCTTTGCTTATCTGCAACCATCTGCATCTTAGTCATTAAGCTAATAACAGTGCTTGTTTTCCAGATCTCTTAAAAAGGAAGAGAAACCTTTCAGGAAGGTAGTGGCACTGGAAATTCCACATACAGTGAACTAAAAAGACTGTCTCTACATCCAAACAATAACCTCTCTCTAATTATTTTTGGAAACCAATTTCTCCAGTTGTGAGCAATAGTATCCTATTAGTATCAATGGGTCTGCTTGTTTGAAATATAAAAAAAATTCTGGGTGCTGGCCAGGGCTGCACAGAGTTCTTCAGGCTCAAAGGTTTGAGACAATTTCAAACTAAGGATTTGCTGTTTGTTTTCTGTTTCTTTTCAACTTGCTCTTGGTTTTATGCTTTTTCAGACTTGTAGTTATGCTTTGAGCAAATTCAGTAAGAAGTAAGTTAATCAGTTGAATAGATCGGGGTCTTTCATATCATGCATCTAGGGTTTGTGTTTTTTTTAGAATAAGGAAGCTAATTTTAGCAGTTATATAAACTGATGTAAATGTTTGGAAATTAGTCATTTGAACCATGTCAGAGCTATTCCAGCCTTTCTGTTCTGGGTCAGATCTTATCAGATTTATGCTAATTTATCTGCATTTTCAATAAGTAGTTTTCATCGTTACTCAACAATATTGTACCATCTTTTCTTGGTGAGGACCTTTTCCATGCTGGCACAGCTGTAGGAAAGAAACAATGAGTCTGGGATGAGACTGGACTGTAATCTGTGCTCTGATTTTGATGTGCTCTGGCTCTGGTTGATCTTCTGCAGCTTGGTTTAGCCTTTTGTTCCTACTGCCTCTGCTCATAGCTCTTCTAAACTCTCACTGCTCCTTTGGTTAGCTATCTTAGAGTTTCTAGCCTAAATTTATTTACACTCAATATGAATAGTTAATGCCCATTTGGCCTTGTACCAGCATTGTCCTAAGGTATAAATAGCTGTTCTCCATGGATTCATTTATAAAGTCTCAGTCCTTGCCTACCACAGTTAAGGAAATAAAACTCTATTTAGTCTCCTCTTGTAAGATGGACTCTCCGTTCCCTGATACGCCTCGCAGCACCTTCTTTGTATCTGCTCCTGTCTGAATGTTTCTCCTTCCAGCAAAGTTTTCAGAAAGATTTGTGACATGGTTATAGACATAACATAGACACTTTTCAGAGGTCTTCCAAAATAACTATGGCAGGGATGGAAACAGCCAGACCTATCCTTTTTCCCTTTGCTTTGATCATTCAAACTTACTTCTTATGATTTAAATTCCAGTGTATTACATTCTGCAACTGGGCAGATTTTGCTTTTGATCTTTTTTACCTGCACCAGGGGACCAGGTGTTTTGACAGCATGTGTTGACTGATATTGTCTTTCCTTTCCAGGGAGGTTCAGCTTTTTCTCCAGCATCCATTATTACTAAGAGGAGAGCGCAGACCCAAGCAGCAGTCCTGGCTGAAGAAGTGGGATGCCCTTCATCCACCAGTGAGGAAATTGTAGCCTGCCTCCGCCAATTGCCTGCTCGTGTCCTCAACGATGCGCAGACTAAGGTAGAGCATAGCAAAATATATGTCATTGGCAAGGAATCAAAAAGTTTCCATTGACATGAAGATGTGAGGAAGCTTAAAAAATAAATTGGGCTGAATCCTTGTGAAAGAGGAACTGGACTAGCTTTGGTAGAGTAATGCTGATGTCCATGGTATCCACCTCTGACCTATGAATACTCACAGCTTGATTCTCCTTTAGACTAAATTCCTTTTACACTACTTTGACCACATGTTCCAAAATTAATCTAAATATAGTTTTTACCTTCTTTCAGTCCCCTCTCATCTGACCATGGGTTTTACTCTAGAGGAGAATCAAGTGTAGCTTCAGTAACTGCATTTTTGCAGAAAAGGAAGTGGGGAGGGATATCAGTGCTCTGTCTCTTAAGGGGGAGACTTGTGAAAGCTGCAGTATAAATGATTCTAGAGATGGATCCTTTACCCACAGATTAAAACACCCACTGGCAATACATTTTCTGATCAGGACCAGCATAGAGCCAATCCCTAATTTAAAACAATATTTTTATGACTATAAGACCATCAATTGTCTTGGCCTGTACAGCTTGTTTCACCTACTGAGACTGTCAGCAAAAGCTTTGCTTCCTGCCAATGGTGAGTTTGCACTTATATTAACTGACCACTTGTCCATCTGAAGGCTATCAGCTCAGTTTTCTGAAACATAACTACAATGGAAATGACCAGGGTAAGTTAACTGCACTATTATTGCTTTTTTGCTAATCTAGCTCCTAGCTATAAGTGGTCCGTTCCAGTACTGGGGTCCAGTGATGGAAGGAATTTACCTTCAGGAACCTTTAGCTAAAGCCCTGCAGCGCCCTCAACTTCGGAAAGTAGATCTGCTCATTGGAAGTGCTCAGCAAGATGGGTTGATCAGCAGAGCTAAGGCAATCAAGGTAGGAAGAGATTCACTGTTAAAGGAACTGATGGTATTACTATTACTATAGTGATGACGGTAATCATATGCAGCCAGGACAGATCCTTTTTGATTTCTACAATTTTGTGAATTATACTCCATGCAAATATGGAAAGGCATTGTCCATCTCCAGCTAATCCTGTTTAGGCTGATTAATGGCATTGTTATTTGTTGATTAACACTACTGGGGGAGATATGAAAATGTTTAGCATGCATTAATATGCAGCAGTATGTTTTACTGTCTCTGAAATCCTATTTATATTGCGATCTCAGTTGTATATCACAAAGACGAAATCAAGCTCTTAACTTGGTTATGAGGTTCTTCACTGTGCAGCAGAGCTAAGTCAGTCTTTTCCATGCCAACGTTTGTTTTTTTTTTTTTTTTGCAGCAAGCTTTTTTCTCTGTTGCCTTTAAGAAGTATGTTTTCTTGTAAAGATGATTCTGAATATGGGCTAGTTATGACTAAGAATAGCACTGGCCTGATGTATGGTCTAGGGTTTCAGGGCATAAACTGGTGAAATGAAAAAGAGTTGCGTCCATGCTGTACTTTGGACATAAAAGTCCTCAAAAGCATGAAGGTGTACCCACAGGGATTTTGCTTCTTCTTGTGAACCCTCTGGCACTGTCTGTTCTTGAGACAGCGTATCAACCTCTTCTAGTTTATTTGCCCTTCTCTGCGATGAGAACAATAGCACTTCCCTGTTTAACACCACCAAATTAAATTAAATGTTTCAACCTGCTCAGCTATATGTTAAGAAATCAACAGGAGAATGTAACATGACAGGGATTATTTTAAGGGTTATCTAAGTGAATTGCAGGTCTTTTGCTATCTTTCTATAACTGTGTGGATTTCATCTCTTAGGAGGCAGTGAAAGGTTAATCCCAGTTTCTCTTTGCTGGTAGCCAATAACATATAGACCAATTTTCTTCAGAATTAATGATAAAATTACCCCTTTGAAAGAAGGCTTTTTGACCCCCCTGAATAAAGTTCATATTGCTTGTTTAGTCTCCACCAGAAATTTCCTGCTCTTATTTAACGTATCTTTCTCTTTTGGAATCAATTAAAAGAGGAAGTCAGGCATACGAAACAGACTGTGATGCTGGAGGCCTGCAGATAATGATGCAGACCCTGTGAGAAGGGAATAAACCTCAGTAACCTCATTACAAGTCATGTGCTGAAGACTAGGAAGTGAAATTCTTTCCTTTACCACTATTTCCACGTGTCAGTTGTCTGCAAAACTGAAATGAAATTCCATGATGTATTAGAGATAATGCAACAAATCATGGTGTTAATGAAAGCCACAAGTGCTAAAAGCCAACACTGTCAGGTTGAAATGAAAAGGAAAACCACTTGTAACTGAGAGCTCAGCAGTAAAATGTTGCCTTTCAAAAAAAAAATCTGGAATATCTTCTTTATTTAAAGGCTTGCAGAAAATAAGATTACAAGGGGACTCAAAAAGTTGGTGCAACTCAGCCCTAAGAAATGGTCCTATCTACCTCAACCTGAGAGACCTGTTTTAACATCTCCTACTGTTGGAGATCTTCTGATCTCCTTTGACAAGGGTTTAACTATCCTTACTTAGAAGGACAGTTAATTTCTTTACTAGCTATTATAATAGTATCTACCTTACTTGGTGCTACTGCTGTAAGTCAGATTCCATCTCTGTTCCAGAAAATTCATAATGTTCATGGTAGCTGGTTATTTTTTGTTTTCTCTCTTGTGACTTCTTTAAGCTGTTTTCATGTTCTCAGTAAGAACTGATGATTTTTTAACACACGTTTTCCTCTATTTCTATTTTCCTGTGTCTTCAGGTTTTTAGGGCTTGAGGGAATATGACTGTTTTGACCAGTTTTTATTCCTGTCTTTAGATTGTTTTCTTAAAGACTTACTGCAAGGTTAATGTTTCCTGATTTCATAGAATCATAGAATCATAGAATCGTCAAGGTTGGAAAAGACCCTTAAGATCATCGAGTCCAACCGTTAACCTATCACTGCCAAGTCCATCTATACCATGTCTTCAAGCACTGCATCTCTCTGTTCTTTAAGTACCTCCAGGGATGGGGACTCAACCACTTCCCTGGGCAGCCTGTTCCAATGCTTGACCACCCTTTCAGTGAAGAAGTTTTTCCTAATATCTAACCTAAACCTGCCTTGGCGCAGCTTGAGGCCGTTTCCTCTCGTCCTATCACTCGTGATTAGGGAGAAGAGTCCTTGTCCACACAGTTAGTGTATTAATTGCTGGGAAACTGTTATCCTTCCTCCATCATTGAGCTGTTTAAGAACATGCATTTTCCAGGTCCTCAAGAGCATTTCTATTTCATAGCCATGCATGGTTGCAGTCAAAGTGAGATGATAAAGTCCTGAGTAGTCCACAGATGTCCTTAGCTACAGTGGCAGAAACTGGTGTGTGTGGTCGTTGTTACCAAGAAGTCTGTGCCCCGTTTCCTCTGTCATAATGTCATAAAGGATCCTTGATCTGTGCTAAATGTCCTCTCCCTACAATAGACCTAAAAGAAGGATTTGAGACAATCCACACTGTATCCCACTCTTCTACTTTATTCATTTTAAGGGTTCCCTTGAGGTAGATCTGACTTGCATCTTTCTGGGAAAACCCAAAGCTGGTTTTACTGATATACTAAGGAAGGTGGGAGGGCTTAGCTGGTGGACAAAGCACTGATATCAACTTGGGGAACCAAGGCATAGTTCCTAGTTTGCCTCTGACTACAACCAAGTTATTTGATCTGTTCTACAAAGAGGGGATCAAACCTCCCTGGGGTGAAAATCCATCTATGGATGTGCTCCAACTCTGCAGAGAGAAGAACCATGTATGTATTTGGGTAGATAAATGGCACAATTAAAAGGTCCTATGGCAAGTGTATGGAATTGGCATTGGTCCTTCATTTCCATCTCCTTTAGGATGACTGATTTCAGTGTAGAGTGCAAGGAGTGGGGGGATAGAAAAATTTAACCCCTGCTGACCTGTTTCACCAGTTCCTGGGAATAACTGTACGGGCAAATTCAGCCAAAGGCTTGCTCTATTAATCCTGGTCTTGCTCTATTAATACTGAGCCTGTAAATAGTGAAGAGACACTTTTAGCCATTTGGATGCAAGCAAGCTTGAGACGTGATGCAAATCTTATCACCTTAGACTGAAATTACATGCAAGTTTTATAAACTCTTAGCAGTCGAGTCTTAGGAGTGAGAGTAAAACCTCTAGACTGCAACCAGACCCGAAGGTGGTAAATTCAGTTGGCACCATGTTGTTCCGTGGGGGCTTTCTGGCATTTGGTTGTGTTGAGTGTCTCTGTACTCCCACTGCAACACTGTGCTTATGCCTGTTAAGACCTTTACTATTAAAAATGAAACAGAAAGACAGAAGGCACCACTTATGTGCTAGCAAAACATTTATGTTTGATTTGTTTACAATTAAAGGCTGAGGTCTCAGTGATGCTTGCAGCAGAGAGTATGTTGAACATTCATGCTCAATGTCTTGCCCATGGAAATGACCATCTTATGGCATTCACTTGAATGCTTATTCATGTGAACTGAGACAGATTTACCACTTCCTGGAGCACTTTGTACTCATCCCCAGTGCAGCCATCAGATGGTTGAAACTAAGTGAGAAACAAAGCAGAGTTTGTTAAGGGAATGGCAAGTGGTGCCATAATGCACTATTATGTGGCATATGGAGCAGTTAAGCCTGAATCCGTTAACTGCAATTCCCATGGCAGACCTTCAGGAATATTAGCTTTGAGCAGCCATAGATTAGGGCAGCTGAGCAGAAACCTCTAAAAATATCAATTTCAATTCCCAACTGGGCAAAATTTTATCCCTATGCTATATGTGATGCTCAGGTGGGAGGATCTAATGGTTCCAGCTGGCATTAAATATACAGAGTCACTCATGCTGATCTATATCTGTGTTAGTCTGTATATGCATGTAAGTCAGTACAGCCCTGTTTATATGCTCCATATGTTCTATGCCTACTATGTAATCTCCACATTGCAAGGATTGTTAACTTTCTTTTTAGTTGGAAGACTAAGGCTGTACTTTATGTGTTTTCTTTCTTTTTCTTTCCCTCCTTAGTACAAATCTAGTTGGCTGCAGAACCCAGAACCAGGACATAGGGGAGTGGATAGACGGAAATATAGTTTATTTACACAACATAAGCAACTGAAGCTATGCAGACCTGATCTTCCATCCTCCACTATATTAGTCAGTTAATTTCTTTATAAAGGTATTCAGCAACATGCAACAGATGGCAGATATGTTTATATTAATTGTAACAACTAGGGGAGCAGTGTCCTGATAAATGCCATCAGTGAGGAGAATGGGCTGATATCAGCTCTTTACTTCATCTTGTAGCTATCTGGAATCCTTGAAACACTCTGTTTGAATGGCTGGCAGGTCTTTCACCATCTTTTGTGGCAATGTTTATCAAAAACCATTTAAATCCTAAGATCTGTCCATATTCTGTTAGTATTATTGCTATTCCAGTTTGTCAGAAAAGTACATTTTGCCCCTTGGAAGATGTAAATGTTTCATCGACCAACTGCTACAATTTCTCTTTAAATAAAACACTGGACCAGATTAATTCATGTGCCCAGAAGCTATGCTGCAGGAATAAGAACAGTAAGAATTATATAACTCATTATTTAGACAATGTTTATGACTGCTTTGCATCACCAGAACAGTAGAAAATGGTGCACCTGCAGTCTTTAATTATTTTCTTACTTTCTAAAAATAGTTGAAAACGCCACTATAACTCTGAGGTCAGTTGTTAATACCTCTTTAAAGATTAGCAGAATGTAAATTATTTTACATAATGTACAGCTGTTTCTATTAATCTGGTAGCAGCTGTTGTATCTACTGCTATTTGAAAATTGTTCCTTGGTCATATATTTTCTAATAGGAAACATTTTTTGGACATGGAAAATTGGTCAAATTGAAGCAATTTCTGAAAAGTTAAGATGCTTTGTCTTTTTAATGTTTCATGGGTTTTGCTTTGAATGTATTGTATTGTTTTGTTTTGTTCTATCACGTTAAATTCAGATGTTTAAATTATATTACATTGTAGCCAAAGCAACACTTGAGACATTCTGTTTCAGATTGTGCTCTCCAAACCTCTAGCACCTTGCAGCTCAGGGACTTCCTAGCCTGAATTGGCCTTTCCGTAATTAATAACCATCAACTGATTCTTTTATTTTTTTTTTAACTCAAAAAACTGTTCATGATACTTCATCTTCACCAATTTTGGCATCTGCAAAACCATGTGGAAAGGAGTTCCTCAGCTTAACCATGTGTTGTATGATGATTCATGTCCTCTGTGGTTTTCAACTGTAATGTTTATTTGATGCTCGGTAGTTGATGAGGCAGAGAAGGATCAGTTCCTAGGGTACATAATCATTACCCTAAGTTTTTTTCTCTTTCTTTTTGTCTCTGTTATCCATGACAGGTGTAGAATAAGGTGACAAATCCATTAAAAATACCCCAACAAAATGAAAACATTGCATGAAAGTTGCTTTGTACAGGACGCTTTACACAGAAGAGTTGCGCTCTGCATTGACACAGAAAAGCATCTGTTCTTATCCATATCTGCTAGCCAAATCTGCCAGCTCCTGTCACCAAATGAGAGATTCCTAATTAGACAGCAGCAATGCTTCTGCTGGTTAGTAGGGAGCTGAACTGATGTGCGCCGAAGCCAATGGGAAGGTTGCTTTTGAATTCAGTGAATCTGCAGTCAGGTCCTCAGTGATAGTTTCTGTTTCTTGCAGAAAATTATACGTATCCTTGCTGTATTTAAACTGAATGATTTTGCAGGCGAGTGTGCTGTGCAGTTTCCTATGTGGCATTTGTGCACATGAAGTGACGTGTCATGTGTGAGGTGCAGATCTTTTTCAAAGTGCAGCTGTATTAATAAAACTGGCACCACATGACTCTTTTCACATTGCGTGGGCCAAAATCTAGCAAAAGAAGAATTTATTACAAATACAAGGAAAATTGCCAAGATCTTTTTGGACCTTAGGATATTCGGTAGTGTTTTGAAATCCCTTGTAAAGTCACTTAATCAAAATGCACAAAGCGTTAGAGTACATCAGTAAGGACAGGCCTCAGCCTCAGCAGATGGGGACTTATTTTCCATCTTTCATTTCTGTGAATCTGTTGAAAAGTAATTATTCCCTCTGTACTTTCTGTATAGGGTTGTGGAAAGATCTAGCTGCGTGATGAAAACCAGCTGCGGGCCATCAAAATAATATATTCAGTAAAGCATCTATGGTAACTGGACTGGGCAGACACCAGCCTATTTTGCATCAGACTGACTGCCCAAAATAATATAGGTGGTTTACTAGAGCTTTCTTGCTGGAGTTCTTATACCAGGTTTCAGCCAGTGTGTGTTTGCAAGGTGCTCTGTTTAGAAAGGACTTGATCCACAGGAAGGTTCAGCTCTCTTTCTGAACTTGAAATACATTATTTAAAAAAAAAAAAAGTGAAAATCTGAGTTGATAAAATAAAAAACTTGCTTAAAGAAAGATGTGGTGAAAACTTCCAGCAATTTTTAGCTTTGGTAAAAATAGGGTCGGGTAAGCAGTTTGGCATAGAAGATGGTTCCCCTGCTATCAGTAGTTCTGCAGTGACATGGGCACTCTGCTCTGGGAAAAAATGCCTTTATGTCAGGAAAGGTTTCAGACCACAGAACTCATGAAAAGGACATTTCAAGGTAGGTCTGTCTGAAAGGCCCTAGGCGTTATAAAGTTTGAAGATCATGGCTGCTACTTGAGAGAGGGGGATTTCTTTTCCAGGGCTAAGGCAGATATTAGTCCAGAAGGGCCCTAAATACAGGCCTTATGGCAGCCACATTTCTTTGTAGGTGTTTCCAGAAGAGGCAGAGTGATATAGCCATGAAATGGCTATATGGCGTGTTCGCTTTCTGGACTTCCCAAAGGAAAGGAGCAATAGCTCCCTCTGTCCCCTTTAGTTTTCCTGCAGGGAGCTCATCAGAAAGACAGCATTGAGCACACCCACACTGGAGAACTATCCATATGGACTACTTCTGTGGGAGCCAGCTGGGTTTCTGTAGTATTAGAGCTACATCTGCACAGCACTGTACCTTTGATTTGGATTTACCAGCTTAGGGATTCAGTCCTATAGTATGTTTTGAGGAAGCCAACACAGCTGGCTGGTGACAGTCTTAGGAAGGCAAAAGTAGGAATGTCCCCTACTTCTTCCCTTAGGAATCAGAGATCACCTCAGAGAGGACTCATTCCAGCAGAGGGAGATCAGAGCCTATATTGTTCCATTAAAAATCTACCTTTTGGTTTTGTTTGTAAATTCCATGTATGCATTTTGTTCTCAGAAATTTGAAGAAAGTCAAGGAAGAGCCAACAGCAAAACAGCCTTTTATCAGGCTCTGCAAAATTCTCTAGGAGGAGAAGACTCCAACTCATTCATTGAAGATGCAGCTACGTGGTATTACTCCCTTGAACACTCAACCGATGATTATTCATCCTTTTCCAGGGCTTTGGAAAATGCCACCCGGTAAGAAACTCATTCTATTACACCTGTGTGATTGGGGTTAAGCAAGGTTTGTTTTGCTTATCTGAAGTGTGCATTTATATTCTGAAAACCTTGAGAAATTTCTTTGCAAATGAACAGAAAATGGGCAATATGATTTCATTTTCCATGAGGTTTCCAATGTCATTGGTAAACAGAAATTGAACTGACTTTTATGCCATGTGAAAAGTTTGAATTGTCTTTCCTGAACTGTATATTGGATTCAGACTGCTAATGCTTCTTTGTGTACTCTTTCATGTCAAAGACGTCTTGGTTGTTTGCACAGTCTGCATCAACTATTTCTTGAGTCCTCTCATCTCTGTGACAGTAGAAGAACTAATAGACTGGCTTCTGTTCACAAACAGTCACCTAATTATACAGTTAGATACTTTTCCTAGTTTTTGCAAATTTGGAGAGTGGTCAGGTTTGAAAACTTTGATTTCAGGAATTACATTAATTTTTATATAATGAAACTGGCAAAATATATTTCTTCACAACGTCAGGCTTTCCACAGATGAGTATCCTGTGTAAAACAGTGAAGCATTTGTGAATGTTCAGAAAAGAGGCTCCCAACCCCATTCTGTGCATTGCTAATCTCCATTTTACCTATGGCAGAAGAATCCCCTTAAGCTTATTCATGTATTCCTTGACCCTTGGGTAATCATTTATGCCAGTGTACAGCGATAGTATAATGTCACCCAATCCACATTTTGCTCCCTTTGCGTATGGTTTCCCATGGTGAGAGAAAGCAGAATCAGGCATCAGGATGCTTCTGTAGGAAGTCGTCTTGTGAAGGTGAAAGGAGAACACACGATATCTGACTCTTGCCTTGATTGATCCATCAGGACACACCGTAGACTCACAGTGCCTCTCAGCCCCTTCCAAAGAAAATAGTGATGACATGTCAGCAGACGGATGAGCAACTTGCCTCCAGTATATACACTCCCACACTTTGCATTGAAACATTGCAGGCAGGGACCATTGGGAAGTGGAAGAGGAGCAGTGGGCCATGTTCACACCACCTAGTATATATGTATAGCTTCAACCCTTAACTGGGTATGGCATCAGGGTCCAGCAGTTCTGGATAACAGTCAGTTTGAAGAGTTCATTGCCCTGTTGAACTAGGACTCCACAGCAGTCGTGACACCTATGGCAGGCCATAGAGATTGGTGGATATCTTTAGCTCGGGTCACATGATGGTTTGGTCTGCAGAGAAGACTATAGATTTTGCTCTCTCCCCCATCGGCAGCCAGTTTGCTTTAGCCAGTTACAGATCTTGAGCTGTGATGGGGTGGGCCAATTTTTCTGAAAGGAGGCAAACTGAGGGGAAATATCCTTACGCCCTCTTTCCTGCCTCTATGCAAACTTGTGGTCTGAATGTTTAAAAGTTGAACAGATTTTCAGAAAATTAATCAAAAAGCTTTTTCCCTATTACTGTCTCTGCTTCATGGGCAGATTCATTATGAAACCTCTTTACATTTCTAAAGTGATGTGTTTTATAAGCTGGTGGTTTGAGTCCTAGTGTGCCCATCCAAGCTGTTTCACCTCTGTTCTGAACCGATACATCATAGCTACAAGCTCCTGGTATCTGCGCTCTCAGTGTTACAGCTTTCTGTCCCACCGTGAGCCTCTCCATGAGACCTCAGAGACAAGGTTTTCCTTTCAGTAGGTCTTTGTCCTCCATCAGAATTGCAGGGCATTGCTCCAGGGGAGCCTCAGGGAGCAGGAGATGAACAGGAGCCAAGATTCACTTGGAAACATCTGACCCAAGACACGAGTGACCAAATCTGTTTGGGGAAGGTTTCTGGGTGGTCCAGGTGTGCCGGTGCATTGCGGTCATGGAGTAAACAAGCCAGAAGGCTGTGGGTTGAGCTTTGTGCCATTTATCGAGTGTCACACCATGCTGCATTTGCCCTGCCTCGTAGCCTGTCCCAGGGACAGGCCACCCATCACTGCGGCATCTGGGGCCACTGCATGCAGCACACGTGGAAGCGCTGTGGTTCATGGGCATTAAAGCCAGAACTCATCTTGACTCTTTCCATCACCACTGTTACCATGGGGCTATCATCCTATAGTCAGATCAGTAAGGTTTTAAGCCATAATAAAACACTGAAGGACTTAAATTTTAACCCTTCCCACCCAGAGATACTTCCATAAGGAGCTGTTATAACACAGGGCTGTTGAATTTGCTCATCCACATTCAGCGCAGGGCTCAGTGTGGTGCAAACACTGACTTTTGCAAAGCTACGATGGGTAGCACACTGCTTGCTTGCAGCATAGGAATGCGATAAACAAGTAACTCCTCTGGCTCTCTGCCTGCGAGCGCCCTGCAGCAGCCTCACGGGCATAGGGGTTACCTGCTTGTTTATGGTATGAGGCAAATGACTTGGCTAAGGAAAGAAGTGAATGGCTTAAAGAGTCACCACAAGCAAGCAGAAGGATGAATAGTGAAACCAGGACATCTGATAATAATCCTTTGCTTTAAACACTTTGGAAATTTCTCCAGCTACAGGAGAAAGGGAGGGAGACAGCAGTTACAGAATGACAGTCATCTACATCAGTATCACATACATTATGGAGAAAAGAGGGTTTTGGTTCTGGTTTTTTTGTGTGTGTTTGTTTTGGGTTTTTGTTTTCTGTTCATTTTTTTTAACAAAAAACTTACTACCAGTATAGATGTGTAACCCAAGAAAAGTTCTGTGTCAGGAGGTTATAATTAATTGCTAAAGTTTTAACAGGATTATAAAGTGTGAGAAAGCAACATAAGTGGTTGCTATAAACTACATACATTGTGCATATTTTGTGGTTTTAAAATATTTCCACTTTTGAAATTGTTATAGCTGCAATTCTCCAGTATTTTTTCCCAGGTATAAAATGAGTTTCGTTTTCTTTTTCTTTCCTTTTTCCCCCCCCCCCCAGCACCAACTGAGAATCAATTTTAAGTGGTGAAATGTATCTCAAAGCATTTCTAGAGAGCTAATGGTCTCCACAGACTCCCTAGTTTTCAAAGACCATCTGCTCCTCTAAAACCCCTTGCTGGTAGGCATGTGAAGAAGAGTAATTTTCGTTTCATATGGGTGTTGTCAACCATAACTGTCAAAGAGTATTGTGGTCAGTCAGCCCATAGCTTGTGGTATCACAGATGGTCTTAAAATAAACTCTGCCGAACCAAGATAGCTACCCAAACAGTGCCTTTCATAATCATATCAGTTAAATATAGCAACATGTTTTTATGCTTCTCTGACAGTGTTCTTTCTTGCCATCAGTCATTCTTTTTTTACCTACCAAGTTTGAAGGAGCAGCTACTGTTTCAGATTCACAAGACCAAGAATTGAAACCTCCCACTTCTGCAGCAGATAAGTTTGTGTGTGCTCATGTAGTTATGGATATATAAACACCCAAAGAGTGTGCTGCATCTTTGGGCACATGTAGAACGAGAAGTGGTGATATGTGTGTATATAATATTGCCTTGAGGAATCATAACGAGATATCTTGCAGTAAGGTGTCCTGTTTTCTGCCTGCCCCTTTTGAACCGCTTGTGCTCCTTCCGGCTACTGCTCACCCCACCTTCCAGCCTCACTTCTTGGGTAAATGGAAGCTAGGAAGGTTTGGATATATTTGCTTCACTCATACCTTTGTATTGCAATATCTAGTGATAAATTGATCATTTAAGTATCTCATTCCACTCTTCTTGATAACCTTCTCTCCCAGACGTACTGCACCAGATATTCCATATTGATGAACCCTGCCAGAGGCCCTGCAAGATATCTCCAAAAGTGGTCTCTTACTTCTTCCACCTCTGGAAACTCTACCCCAAAAAATCACACAGAAACAAATGCAGAAATGATATTATTGATCCATAACCCAGAAAATATATAAGCCCTTTTACTAGATGCCATTGCAACCTAGTGGTGCCAGAAGAAGGAGCTTTCTACTATTACAAGCATGAGCCCCCATAAACTAGACTAAAATGGGATTGTTTTTTTGGCCAGGATACTCATGTGTCAGACCTTGTTGCTTTAGTACCATTACCATTGTTCAACACTTCATAAAACGTAAAAAAATTTAGTGAATTCTAAGTTGTACGGGGCTCATAGAGGGTGAACATGGTTTCCCTCAGTGCACTTGAAGGCAGAGATATGAGCTGTTTTGGAAGATCTAAAGGCGGCTATCAATATAGAGAGAGGTCTGTTGGTTGTGGGTTTTTTTCCTTTCTTCTGTTATGTGACTGTGTCTGTTCCCTGCTCTTTCTTTTTTATCAGTGACCAGTTTATCATGTGTCCCATCATAAACATGGCCAGTCACTGGGCTGCTGCCTCCAGAGGAAATGTCTTCATGTACCACGTACCTGAGAGTTCCTCACAGAGCAGGTAAGGAGATGTATTTTATTATGTTTCTTGGATTTAGAGTTTGCAAAACCAGGGCTGTCTGTTTGGGCACCCTGTAGAGTAAATGGATAGATGTAGGTATGAGCAGTTTGGATTAGCAAAGGAGGGATTGGGCTCTGATAGATTATTTCTCCCTGTTGGCTATATAGGAATGTTGTTTCTGAACTCAGGCACTTCAAGTTAGATGTCTAAATTAAGTTTCCCTTTTCCAACTCACCTACCTTTGCCAGTTCCAGATAGCCTTTTAAATTGCTACTCTATATCTGATAAATATCCCACAAAGAACCAGAATGTGGTCTAAGTCATCGGGAGCCCACAGCTCTCAAGGTAAATGGGGTAACATTTCCTAAGGACTCAACATTAATTGAACACTGCCCCCTTTTGAAGGCAATGCAGTTGTACCACAGTTACACTGAGTGGCCTTCAGTGTGGGCAGGGTCTGGGGTTTATTCCTTCCTGCTCCAGCACCGTGACTTGTGATCAGCCGACAGACTGTCTCATGGGAGGAAAAGTATTTTTGAATGCAAGCATTTGCAGACTCAGGCTCTATGTCATCCTTCATGTTAGCAGCTTGCTTGAAAAATTTGCAGCAGGAGAAGCTGTATCATATTTTAGACAGAAAGGTTTAAATGCCCGTGGGAGATGCAAATGCCTTGTTCCCTTGGGCATAGAACAAGCTAGTAGTCAGCGGCTATTAAGGTGACCTTCCCTGGTTTTATTTTAGACCCAGCCCCTCCCAGAAGTCAGAATGAGACACTGAGGTTTGCAGGCAGTGGTCAGCACTTTGGGCTGCGATGTGACATACCACGGTAGCTCCTGGTCCCTTGCTCTCAAAGGCTGAGTGATCAGAAACTGCAGTGATAGTAGCCCCTCCTCTCCCCTAGATCCGCACATTAGGGCAGCAAAGCACACAGGGACGCTTATCTTCTAGCTGTTTCCTTATGAGGGAGCAGTGCTTGTCCCCTGCTCCCTGTACTGCCCCGTACCTCTCTTCAAGAAAGATTTCTGAGACCTTTTCCTTTTTCTCAGGCTTCCTCTGAAAGGGTTCAGGGGAGGGGCAACGGGTTCCTACAGGCACCATTTGATACTGTGAAGTTCCCTGTGACCTACGTGGGTCTTTTTCCTTTCCTGATAGCGTAGTGAAAAAGCATTTGAAAGAAACCAGCCAAGATCTAGGTTACAGATGAAGGCCATTATGCTGTGGTAACACAGGCTCGCTTTCTTTTTAGCCAAGAAGAAGTTAATCCTCAGGGAGCCGTTATTTTGCTGGCAGCTCCAGCGGGAATGTTCGCAGTGCTCCGTTTGGCTACCGATAGGCTCAGATAAGTGACTTTTACAAGGCTCCAAATAGGGCCGAGCTATGGTATGCCAAAAATCCAGCCACACAGAAAGAAAAGATGTGTTCTCAAATTAGCTAGGAAGTTTCCTCTTGCTTTGGAGAATGATAGTGACCCAGCCATCTACGATAAGATCTTATTTGAAAGTAGATGAAATAGTACTCATACAACTTAGAGACACTGGCTTTGAGGCAGTGATTTTGAACTGATGAGAATTTCGTCTTCTATCTAGCCCTATTTAAGTTTCTCTTGTGCTCAAGTTATTTAGCTCTCCTCACAGTCTTCAGTGCAGTAAGTTTACGTAGCACTTAGCTACACATCTTAATAATATTTATGTTGTCAGTGGTCTTCTAAGCTAATTACTTTAACTTTTAGTGTAAAACTTACTATTTCACTTTTTCATAACCCTCTTTAAAAGAACAAACAAAGCCAGTATGCTGTCTGAAACTTGTGGGAATGTGAGGCAGAGGCTCAAATGCCTCAGGCTAAGCTACTTGCAAGGAGAAATGGGCCCAAATTGGTATGCTGCATTTACATTCTTACTCCTTTCGTCTTTATTTATGCTTAAGTACTGTTAAAATAAATGTTGTTTAGGTTGCAAAGGCAAGCACTTAAACAGAAATTGCAGAATTCATCTTGTCCCCGTACCGAAGAATCTCATTTGACATTGTGACGTGACTATGAAGTGATACCCTCGTTTTCCCAAGGGACCCCACACTAGGTCCTCTGCTGAATATACTGCAAGTTTTTTGTTCAGACATTGTTGTCATTCATTCCTAAATGAATCCTTCCTTATTCTTCACCCCAGTTTTGCCATGTGACCTCTCTCCCTCACCCTCCCTACAGCATTCCCTCCTCCACATAGTATACGTGCATTGCAGGCTGTCCAGCACCCTCACTGCATGCCAATGAAGTGATGCTGTCGAGGGTAGGAGCTTCACATGGGAGAGTGGCCTTAACTGCTGAAAACTGTGAGAAACCATCAGTAATCTGAAACCAACAAAACACAGGGTTCAGGAATACTATTGGTGATTTGCCCGACTGGATTAAAACCAATAATGTACAGGAAACAGCCTTCAAGTAGAATATATAAACTAATCTTGGGGAAAGATCTGGCAACCATGTCACCAACTCCCAAGGAGCTCCCCTAACCACTGGAGTAATGAGCCCTGCCAGTTCTCAAGTTCTTCATTGAAAATTGTGACTCTTCTTAGGAGGAGGAGCAGAGGTAGATACTCTGCCAAGTAACCTGCAGCTTAGCCTGGAAGGTAGGATGTGTGGGTTTGAACTTGCTCAGCAGAAGTGAGAATTGAATCTGGGACCCTGCAAACACTCTAGAGGAGGGCAACGAAGCTGGTGAAGGGTCTGGAGCACAAGTCTTATGAGGAGCGGCTGAGGGAACGGGGGTTGTTTAGCCTGGAGAAGAGGAGGCCGAGGGGAGACCTTATTGCTCTCTACAACTACCTGAAAGGAGGTTGTAGTGAGGTGGGGGTCGGCCTCTTCTGCCTAGTAATGAGCGATGGAACGAGAGGAAACTGCCTCAAGCTGTGCCAGGGGAGGTTTAGGTTAGACATTAGGAAAAACTTCTTCACGGAGAGGGTGGTCAAGCATTGGAACAGGCTGCCCAGGGAAGTGGTTGAGTCTCCATCCCTGAAGGTATTTAAAGAACGGATAGATGTGGTGCTCGAGGACATGGTATAGATGGACTTGGCAGTGATAGGTTAATGGTTGGACTCGATGATCTTAAGGGTCTTTTCCAACCTTGACGATTCTATGATTCTATGATTCTATTAAATTCCTGAATAGAAGAACCCTGTTACAGCCATTTCTTTGTGTTAATGAATGCGATAACCAACAGTATATTTTGCATATAGTAGGCATGTACAGGATATTCTGTGAGTATACATACTGGATCAGATCCCCCCTGGTGATTGTAGCTGCAGGAGCACCTCATTAGATATTCCTGATCACTCATAGGCATTTGACAGAAAAATGATTTCTCAGCCTGTTTGATATTACATCGCATCTGCGTTTTCTGAGGTACAGACCTTTGCTTGTAAAAATGGAAACTTCTATAGTATTATGTCCATAGGGTAACAGAAGGGATAAAATACTGATTTTTTGGTCTTTCGTGTCTAAAGTCTTCTTAAGATCTCAGTTTACACAGGATATGGACCTTTCCCTCTTTGTGTTTATCTATATCATAAAGATGATGATGATAATATAATTATACATTATAGTTAATAATCACTAATAGCTACTTCACAGAGGTATTGGAAAGAGTACATTAAAATAATATTGTGTTCAGATAACTACAACAATGGCAGACTATTTACTCTTAGATAAAATATTCTGGCTGAGGAAATGGCCATTCACTAATTAAGATAAGGCACAGTATAGCAACACATTCTCTAATTTCTACTCTGTCACCTCTCTCCTACTTTATGTGTGTCTCCCAAAATGTGTAACAGAAGAGAGACTTAAAATGCAGAGATGAAAAAGTACTGGTATTTCCTCTTGTTTCACATGGAGCAGTCCCATAATAACTCACAGCAAGATAAACAAGAGGGAGGGAGAAGTCAGCCAGTAAAGACAGACCCAACTGCAATGATAAAAAGTAGTCAGAAAGTTATTAAACAAGGAGGAATTTTTACCAGTACAAGTCAATTAGCAAAAGTTTGTCTCACAACTGGCTGTTTCTAAAATGTACACACATACACACATTCAAGCATGCATAGATACAGGGGTAAGATTAAAAAGGCCATGCTAAACTGATGTCTATGACATATGTGGAAAATCACATAAAACCATGAACTGACAATTTTCATACAGATGAATGGATCTTGCAGAGAGCAAACGAATATCTTCTTCCATGTGGTAGCATTGTCCCCAGCTTGGCGTAACACCATGTCTGCTTTAGTCTTCAGTTCCTATTTGAATAAGGAGCGAGATGCACAGCCAGCTCCTGTATTACCAATCTGTGGTAAAAATATATACATAACCCAGATGCCATTTTCTCACTCTTCTTGAGAACACGTAGGCCTTGGAGTAAACATTTATTCTAAACAATGCAGGAGGAATGTGACTGCTCAGCATTGCCCAGGATTAGTGGGGTGGGCTAGAGTATAGCTTTAGTTACAGTAAAGAAATATGTGATAGGAGAAGTATGTTTTGACAAGGATAATATTATTAACTGTAGAAAGATTTGCCTCATTAACCCTTCAAGAGGTTTCTGGGTGATTTTTGCATATTATATGAAGTAGCACTGCTTGCCATGCCAGAATAGTTTCCAAGTCACACTGTGGTGCCAAATGTGCTGTCTTAAGATGTTGGATAAAAATCAGTGCTCTGCTTACTGAGGAGGCCAGATCATCACTGCAGCAGGATGGTAAAGCAGCATTATTGTCACTGAAGGGGTCTAAACTGAGACTTAATGAGGCTCTATCTTATAGTCATTTACATTACCGTAATAATTGTCACAAAAGCTTTTGTTAACTGTTATCACTGGACAGATTCATTCAAGATTGATGAGCTGCTGTCTGTTTTGGGTCATTTTAGTTGGGGCTGTCTTTACCTCCTGACTATGCACTCTTGTGTACGTTGGTATGAGTTGTTAAAAGACTGCTCCATGCCAATGCTCGCATAGTTGGCTGGATTTTGGTGACACTTTTTATGATTCCTGTAACTGAAGGTGAGAACTCCTGACTGATAAAAAAAAAAGTTTGCGTATAAACCCATTCAACTATGCAAAGTATTTTCATTTTTGATTTATTATATATGCTGTGCTAATTCTGTCTGTTCTTAATATCCCTTTAATTAAAGAAGATTTTTCTACTCTCTTGATTTTGTAATAATCATATCCCTGACCTTTAATCTGTCCAGCACTTGTCCACTTGAGGCTCTCCTCCTGACTGTAGCTGTTAGTCCATGAGTACAACCACCCCATAGGTTGGGGGGGCCACAGTGTGAAATGGGTGCTGTGGAGGCAGTTAGAAAGTTATGTCTCTGGGCTTCAAAGAAACTCATCTAAACACAGAGGGCAGGTAAGGCATTGGAGAGGTGGTAACAAGAACAATAAGATGCACGTTGCCTCCATAGCTGGGCAGGCACCACAATCACCGTAGGTAGTTACACACACTTGCTGCAACAACAGCTTGTAACTTTTCTCTCTAAAGCTGTACTCCCTCCCACCTCCTAGAAGTTGTTTTACTCTTCTTGTTGGAATTGCCTCTCATCCCTCTGGCCTTATCTATTGCGTTATGCCAGCTGCAGCTATGAAAACACTCTCCCACTGATTGAACCTTATCATGCAATTCTCAAGTCTTTAGCCAGTTTCTGTTTTGCTAAGGGCTTGAGATCTAGATATTTTATTTTTTCTTCCCACGGAGTGGTTTAGGGGCCTTTATCATTCAGTAGATTTTTCAGATCTTGGAAATAAATATGCAAAGGCAAAGTACCAAGCTCAGAAAAAGCAGAAATCAGCTTTAAGTTAACCAAAATTCAACTAAAAGAGTCAGAAAAGTACAAAGCCATTTTTGGAACTGCATGTGTTGCACTGGGGCAGGCTGTTGCCACGAAATGTAGTCTAGAAGATAAGCACAAAGTCCATATATCTAGAGAGACCTTCCTTGGTGCTGTGAGGTCTTTGGATGGACATGTCACGTTTTTAAGGAAATTCATTCATTCATTCAGCTCAGGAGTAGCCATACTGAACAAATGCATGAAATTCTGTCCCCCCAAAGATGCACTCAAGTGTCAATATGCCTATTACTAGGTTTTTAATATAGTAATTTCCTGACAAAATTCTGTAATCTGTGTTATTTAGGAGTTCTGACAAGATGATAAAAGTGCCTTCTTCCCGTATTA